GTGATATGTCAAGATCTAAGTTAGTATTATTATGGTCATCACAGTTGGTTATTTTGTCATTTGCAGTCAAAGAGTCAAAATCATCATGGGCCAGATCATAAGCAAGCATTTCCTCTGCACTCTTTGTATGAGGTAGATGAGAAGTCTTTGATAAAGTAAGGTCTGGGAATATAAAGGTGGAATCGTTATGATCTGATGGAATTTCATAAGTGCTATTGGCCGCTACCGAAGCATTATTGTTGCCTAGTGGACTTTGGTCAAGTGTATTAAAAGCACTGTTTGCTCCTTTAGAAAGCCAGTTCTCTTCAATGAGTTGATTTTGAGAAGGTAAATTCAGGGTTTCTTGATCAAAATTATAGTCGGGACTATGTTGCTTTTTTATTCGTTTAGTGCTACCATTTGGCGAAGGCACTTGGTTTATGGGTCGCTTTTTGGTATTGTCATTTATTAATGTATCCTTAATACTAAATTCCTGAATAAACCCCTCTGGTTTAACTGGCAGTTGTGAAGGAACAGGCTGGAACACACGGTCGATATTACTAATTTTTTGTAGTACTGCCTTGTTACTGAGTGAAGCAAGCGGTGAGGTATGTGATAAAATTGGTAGTGCCACAGGTAGAGAAAAGGCTGAATTTAAAGTCACATTCTGGATTAGAGTCTGGTTCGTTTTTTTAGAAGTTTTTGACCGTGCCTTAGACTTAGGCTGGGGAGGCTGATAAGAAATAAACCCTAGAGTGCTTTCGTCTGAAATAGGATTAGGAGTACTGGTGGGTGGTGAATCGTCGCTGAACCCGCTTGTATTGATATTCCAACTACCAGAGCTGTTGTTTTGTTCATGACTTACTTTTCTTTTATTTCTAACAGGTCTTCCGCCCCAACTGAGCTTCAAACTATAGTCACAAGACGTATTGGTTCGTTGGCAGGTACCGCAAATGGGTTTAATCTCGTCACATTTAATTTTGTGAGCTTTACAATTATGACATCCGTTTCTACTCCGGCGCTTTATCGGCTTGGTGGAAGTCTAAAGAAACTAAACCAGGAAGTTTATATCCGGTCCAAACTCGTTAGTATTATATATTTAATATTTTTACTACTAATAGGGAGTATTTCCATGCCGGTGGCCCGCGCCCGCATCAGCAAAAGCTATTCCATTTACGAGCCTGTCAGCACAAAAAACTTCAAAATAAATACTTACCGATTGTCGGGTCATAGTTGTTTTTCAGTAAAAGAAATAAAAAAAACGTTCGGAAACTACAGAGTACGATATAGGACAGTTTAAAGTCATCACTAGCGATTCAGGCCGTTTAGGACCGATTTCCTCCTGTAGATTCGGGGTAAGGGCTAGATCTAGCTGGGTCCCATGGATTATCCAATACTGCTACAACTAATAGTATGGACCCACACATTGTATATTAGTATTTATTTGAATATTTATTAAATAACTATAGACAAACCCACATAATTAATCATAAAAGTTAAGTATACTAATTGCCCTGTTGAATGTCTTTTTAGCTCCAAAAGTTACATACCATAGTTTAGTCTTTATAATAGATTTCAAACCCTAACCCATCCAGTTGATGCTGAAATTTTAAAAGGTTTTTTCCCTTTAACTGACAAGGACATTAGTAAGGAATACTCTGCCGACGCTACAAACGACCGTATATATCGCTCTACCCCACCCATACAATGGTTAAGAGAATCGCAAAGTACGGATTCAAGTCCGGTTTACTGCCCAAGAGCCGATTAAGAAACATCGCGAAAGAATTCGCTCGTGCCGAGACTGACAAGACCGCTACTCAAGGTTATGCCGATCCCTTGTTTGTTCCGCGTGGTTCAGCTGCTGAACCTATTCAAAAGACAACCAAGACTGCGGATGAAATCATCAATGATAGTGCCAAGGTTTCGCAAAAGCAATTGTCACATATCAGCCCTGAGCAAAAGTTGAAATCGGAGAAGGCTACAATTAGAAGAACATATTTGTCCGACTCGCTTAGGTTACAAGAATTGAATGATAAAGAAGAATGGAAGAAATTAGATGAAATGGCCAAGAAGGAAAAGGTATGGAGAGCCGGATTATTGAAAACTGAAGATTCGGAAGCTACTAAGCTTACTCTTCCTACCATTAATAGTTTTCTAAACAAGCCCTTGGTGGAACCTTACACTGAAGAACAACGAGCCATCTTAAAGGCCAAGAGAGAATCTAACCGGATCGCCTTGGAAACCAAGTTTGCCGAACAAAGAGCCCGCCAATATCTGGATTTATACCAAAGAGCCAGTAAATTTATCGTTACTGAAGAACAGCTCGAAGAAGCCATCGAAAGAGCCGTCATGAATGGTACCAGTGACTCTAGCAAGTCTACATCATTTTACAATGTAGATATTCTCAAATCAGAAAGAAATAATGATCAGGTGAAAAACTTCAGCAACGCGCAACTCGTCAAGATGCACGGTGGTATGCTCACTGACGGTCTTGTGCCCAAATTAACCCAAGAATTAGTGGGCTCCACCGATGTTGGCAGACCGGGCCTGGCCGAAATTAGAGACGTCTTAAATGGTAACGCCGATGAGTACACCAAGAAGGTCAACGATTTCAAGCTCAAAAAGATCGAAGAAGACAAAGCTGCCGCCAAGTCCGTGTTGGATGACGTTGTTTCCAACAAATCATGAATGGGAAATCAATAAAGGGAAGTCGAAACATACATATACGATCATTATTACTACTATCATATATATTTTTATTATCAATTTTTTTTTATCTTATGTACACATGCAATCGGTTCATAGCCATGATTTCGGAGCTCCCCCTCCTTGACCGAAACGAAATACCTGTAAATAAATACATCCTTCAATATTTGAGTTTTTTTTAACTTTACGTTATTAAGCAATTATATGCCTTTTCTATTGTGTTACTATAAAGTCTGAGCTGGCACTCAAATCAAACCTGAGATCATACATTCATGATCATTCTGCCTCGGTTGTTGCGACTCTCCCGCATTGAAGGCAAGCCTCAGCCATTTTGGGCCTCGAAGTGTTGTTACTAAACAGTCCCTTCAATGCTAACAACGGCTTTTTCTTCGTATTTTTGCTTGAAATTTGCCCTAAAATCTACTGTAATTGCTATTGTAAGAATCGTTTTTTTAGATTATCGTTTCCGCTTTGACTATTCTATATCTTTGATCTCTCCATATACATACTCCACCGTTTCTTATCGCTTATCTATCATCCCATAATTTAGGGCGGAATCAGCTGCATTCATCTGTCATCATCACTTCAAAGGCAAGCAAACTCAAAAATGGCATCCACTTCAAAACCAAAACATGGCTCATTATCCGCGAGTTTCCTCAATCGAGATCGTCCTGCAAATTCATATACGAACCATTTTCTGGACAAAGTAATGGATGATGTCTTCTCGACTATTTCAATCTCCACTACCAGTACACTATCGCCCGAAGTAAAAAAACAGCGGTTACAGGATCGAAAATCGCAACCGGAATTGTCAGTGGGTACCATAGCCCGTAACTTCCGTGATCTTAATGCTAGACTAGGTCTTATGTTTGACCTTCAATATTTAGCGACTAAGGTGTTTAAATGGGAAAACCCATTCAAGACTTTTTCCATGCTCATAATATATACTCTCATATGTTTTCATCCTCACTTGTTGGCCATAATACCCTCAGCTTTATTTCTATTATTTGTTATGGTACCGGCCTACAACTTTAAACACCCTGTCAGTGAAGCCTGTAATATTCCTGTTCCCTGGTACAAGGTGCGACGAACGCTGGAGTTTGATTTATTTCAGGACGACGAAACTGTGGTAAAGAGGGAGCAGCTCAAAAAAGCATCGACTCAAGATATTCTGTCCAATGTTAGGGATCTGCAAAACCTGATGTCTGGTTTTATCGATTTTTATGATACCGTTGCCCTTTTAATATATAGCTCGGCATCTTTTGTGGACGAATCTTACTCAACAATGCTATATATTATCATTCTATTAACCATGATACCATTATCTATTATTGCATCAATGATTCCCTGGAACTTAGCTTTTGCCTTTACTGGCTGGTTAGTTATGTTGCTATGCCATCCTTCGATCCAGATCACCCTGAAACGTAACCAAAAAATATATCTCAAGAAGAAAGAAGAAAGTGTTGGAACAGCGTTTCAAAAAGGCTCCTTATTTGATATAATCACGGAAGAAGGTAAAATCGAGGAGCGCGAGGTTGAAATTTTCGAATTACAACGTCAAGGTCTCACGCCGCGAATTTGGGAACCCTGGGTGTTTACAAATGTCATTTACGATCTTGAGTCTTCTTGGCACAAAAGTCAATTACGGCCGCCCGGATCTAGATTTTTAAGTGATGTTTTGCCTCCTAATAATTCAATTGACGGTAGTGGCTCATGGTACTTTCAAGACAATGAATCTTGGTTGGTTGATCATAATACCAAAAAATGGGTTTTGGATTTGGGCATTACAGATGTGGAAATTGATCTGGAAAATCATTGGGCTTATGATTATAAAAATGGTATTAGAGGGGAGTGGAGACGGCGGCGATTGACCCGAAAGTGCTATCGTAACCCGCCGGTTCCGAACCCCCCGTCTTTGCGTAACGTTCAGAAATAATCTAGATTGCTTGATGTTCGGTCTCTTAATGGTTATAGTTGTTATTCATCTGTGTAAATTGGTTCGCTTTTTTATGTTTGGCAATTACTATTACTAATATGATGATGTCTGCTGGTTCGGAATAATAAATGCATTTCTGGTTTATTTAGAAGGTCTTTAGTAAAGCTTCTCCCATAAACTAAGAAACTATTCATACTAGTACTGGAGAATGGAAAAAACTATGAAAACATCAATCGGTCAGCGCGCCACAAATACCTTATCAATCACTGATAAAAAAAGATATCCTAAGAACAATAAGCCTGTGAAAATACTATAATGTTATTTTTAATTTAAGGAGATAGATAAAACGTGTACGTCTGCAGACGCGAGAGTCAAAAAACTCCGAAACGGGGAATTGAACCCCGGTCCCACGCGTGCTGATATAAACGTGTATCTGACAGGCGCAAATTCTAGCCACTAAACTATTTCGGAAGGAAAGTTGCGCCAGCCCGGAATCGAACCGGGGGCTCACCGATGGCAACGGTGAATTTTACCACTAAACCACTGGCGCTTCTTATATATTCGAGATGTTGTGGGGATTTTATATGGTATCAAAACTTTATTTATTTGCAGAGACTTCAATTAAGAAAATAAAGATTACAGTTGTGTATTTGTAGATTTTGTCTCACTCTACAATAAAAAATTTCATAAGTTTTCAAAATTCCATCTCAATAAGTTTTTTCTTCAACATTTTACTAAAACTAATTAATAGTAATTTATGCCGGCAGATGTCCGATAAAATTATCGACTTTAAAATAGCTTTTGCTTTAAGCAAGGTTATCGAAAAAAGTTCGCATAGTTGAAAAATCAAAAAAAACTAATAATAACACCACAAAAAATGATTCGCCCCAGGATCGAACTGGGGACGTTCTGCGTGTTAAGCAGATGCCATAACCACACAACTAGACCATCGAACCAATCATGATCTCTAGCGGAGTCGAACCGCTGATCCTTGCGTTATTAGCACAATGCCTTAACCAACTGGGCCAAGAGATCTTACTTTTTTTTTCCTGACACCGATACTAACTATAAAAAAATTAAAATTTTAAACATTAATATAAACTGATTTTTTGGTTCTGGCAGGCTATTAGTTTTAAAATATCGCCCATCTCTTAAATTTCTGTTGTTCCCTCCCAGAAACTACACAGGTAAGAGTTACAGGTTTTTTAAGATACAGGAAATATTTCTTGTTACAGTTTTCTTTTTTTTTTATTCTGGTGCTTTTGCAAAATAAATCTTTTTTTTGTATTGCTAAATAAGATCTATTTTTATCTGGGAAGTGTATACTTTAAGTTCAAAAAGAAATATTAAAGTAAATTCTTTCTTGGTCAATAACTATTATCAGTTAATGATATAATACAACTCACCTCTAATCATGAAATAGAATGCATAACCATTTCTAAAGAAATGTAAAATTAAAATAAAATGAAAAAATGCCAATAATCAGACCCAAAAAAATATTGAAAATGTTTCAGGCCAAGATTGTTTCAAAATAGTCAACTATAATTATTTAGCTTAGAAAAACAAACTTCAAAGACTGTGAGACATCAAAGAAGTCAACTATTGAAACGTATTTCATTCTAGGCTCAAAGGTCAGTTTCAGCCTCACTATTCAGCCACTTTTCCAAAATATCATGTAAAACTTTCCGAATAATTGGTTTAGACAAATACCCATCCATTCCGGCTTTTGTACACTCGTCCACTACTTTATCAGTAACTGCCAAGGCAGATAATCCAATGATGGGTTGTTGAAAACCACATTCCTGACGAATGATCCTTGTTGCCATTAACCCATCAAGGCGAGGCATTTGAACGTCCATGAATATCAAATCGAATCGTTTGAAGCCAGATTTGACCAATTCAACAGCTTCAATACCATCATTAGCAACAGTGATATCATAAAGTCCCTCGAGGCCCAGCATGCGTGTAATGACCATTTGGTTAACTTTATTATCTTCTGCAACAAGGATGTTGGGACCCGGACGAGTAGTTTTTGAAGTCGTCGAAAGAGGTTTAGAATTCAGAGTTGACGAATAGGAATCAATCTCGATATGTATCTTATTATCCTTTTCAGTTAACTTAGATAGGGAATCAGATAAGTTATCATAACTGTTCTTCGGATGGCATTGAGGCATGATCGGACGTAACGACGATGAAGATGCGGTCATATATGACGTGGACGGAAAATAGGTATCATCGGCTGCATCAAATAAATCCTCATTATCGTCATCATCGTTTTCATCATCATCATGGAAATCATGGAAATCATCATTATCAACATTAACTGTATTAATATCAATGGAATCAGGTGTGACTTCAAAGGAAAACCCGCCATCTGGTTTGAACTCAGTGTAGACCGTATCTTGGGGTGTTGCAGATGAAGATGAAGTAATACCTCCAGCTAATGTGGATGCCTCAGAGGTGTCAAAATCCAATTTCTTAGTCCACTTAATTGGCACCTGTAATGTAAACGACGAGCCCACACCTTGCTCACTGTCCAATTGCATAAACCCACCCATCATAGTGGCTAATTGTCGACAAATACTCAGTCCCAACCCTGTTCCTCCGTGCTGGCGTGAGAGATTTTGCTCGCCCTGAACAAATGGTTCAAATACACGTTCTCGTAATTCCGGTGCAATACCTGGTCCATTATCAGAAACAGTGAATTCGAAAATTAATGTCAAGGGCGCAGAATCTAAAGACTGGGCTTTTCGTAAAATATCACTGTGAAGCGGCGTCGTGGCAGTTGTACTAGTAGTATGGCTAGAACCGGAACGTTTTGGTCCTGGTGGTTTATTAGAGAGAATACTCGTTATTTCTTCTGGTATCGGGGTATTTAGCAAATGAATTTTTTTAAAGCTATTGTTTTTTTTGCTAGAGAGTGGAGCACTCGTGAAATTGTCTTTTGGAGTGGTAGGGACATTGGACGTCCGGCGTGAATCAGGGCCGATATGCATTACAACTTCTGTTTCAAGGCCGTCCATACCATCTGCAAGCCGGTAAAGCTCCTCGGATTCAAAGTCAGATTCTGAATCAAATGAATCCGAATCTTCATTGTTCTTGATATATCTATTATCTTTGTTGTCGGAGTTATTCACTGTTTTAGCGTTTGATGACCCCGGAGAGCTCGACAGTGATGAGTGAACATTGGGGTTTTGATCAGGTGAACTTGCCGGCGTTTCCTTAAAATGATGAGAGCCATTTTTAGTTTTCTCCTCTTTTATTGGATCAGATTTCTCCGAAACAGCTATTTTATCATTATTCCGATGCAATTTGACACACAATCTTTCATAGCCATTATCTGCCGTGGCTACGGGATCAAACTCACCTAATAATACAATAGCAATATCTACCTTGCCACCCTTTGGGGTGAATTTTAATGCATTACTCGTCATATTGATCACAATTTGTAAAATTCGGTTTGAGTCGGCATAGAGACCCATCTGCATGATTTGACGCGCCGGCCTTATCCTCAGAGTTAAATCGACCGCCTTATCCCGTGCTTGTTTACCAAAGATAGCACGTACTTGGGATGAAATCTCAGTAATATAAAATTCACGCTCGTCTAGAGTCATACGATGTGGGGTATCCTTTTGTGATTTGTGATTTTTAGAGAATGTCAGCAAATCAGTCAAAAGATGCAAGAGCAGTTCTCCTGACTTAAAAATTACCCTTAAACTACGGCGAATCTGGTTGTGATCAGTTTCAGTTAAACTTACCGCGGTCATACCCAGGATGCCGTTGAGAGGTGTACGTAATTCATGGGTGATATTAGCAATAAATATTGTTTTGGCTTCATTAGCATTTTCAGCTGCTGTCTTGGCAAGTGAGAGTTCTCTTGTTCGTTCTTGAACTCGATCTTCAAGGTAACTGTACTGTTTATGCAACTCATCAGTCATTCGGTTGAATGTTTCGGTGAGCCTAGTCAGTTCGTTAGATACAAAAATTCGACCCTGATCAATATGTCCCGGGATACGAAAGTAGGTGGTATCATAACTTTCATCACTGCTATTACTCATACGTCGATGATTGTTGTCGTCTTTATTATTAGTGTACAACGTTGTCTGTTTTGTGGCGGCCATGAGCCTCCGAACAGGTGCTACGGCATAATGGGCAATTGGAAATATCGCCATGGTGATCCCAATACCCAAACCAATTGCCGTTAATACGCTAACTTTAATCAATTTGCTAATGGACGAAAACATTTCACTGTGAGGTTGTTCAATTGCAACGACCCATTTACAAATAGTAAGATCAACAATGGCGTAGCCGACTGATACCGAGTTATCCATGGGGGACCCGCCATTGGATTCAAAACCAGACTGTTGGTCAAGGGAAAACATGGGCACTCGGTAAGCAAAGTAACTGAACGATGGGTACACTATCGAGTTTCTGGTCAGGTTTCTTGGGTCGTCGGCTACCGGAAATAAATAGACAAAACCGGGCATGTAGTTGCGACTATTCACCAGGTCGTAAGTATTTTTTGGTATATCAATCCCAGTTTGATTGACGTTTCTTGTGAGGTTTATGTTGTTGTATTTTTTTTCCCTCATATTAATGATGTCTTCTGAATTCAAATAAACAAAATCAGAGCTTAATGGGTTAAAATTATTAACGCTAGAGAGTAACACCATTTGGCCCTCATTTTGGATACCCGCCTGTTCCTTTATAATATTGTATAGCGATGCTGCACGCATGGCCAAGGTAGTATAACCAACTAGTACAGGTGTTTCGAGTAAAACTGAAGCGTTCCCGTAAATTGGGAGAGTAATGGACATGAAATAGTTTGTCTCATCTTTAGTGGTTAATTTTAGGGCCGGGGGTAGTGAAGATAAGTTAGAAGTTCCTGATTGCGAGGAAGAGGTTTTAGAGACCGAGAAGCTACCAGGTTCCGCATAAGAACCATTTCGAACCATTTCACTAACATATCCACCGTTCTTGTTCAACAGACTCACCAAATAATCCTGACCCGTTTGGTTTTGTTTCCGGGCGTCGAATGGGAACAACGGTCCGGTGAGATCTATTATAGAGTTGGTAATGTTTGTAACATTGGTCGTAGAGTTGAAAACCAAATTAAAGTTGGTATCGTAAACGGTACCCATAAGTAACACTTCACTACTATCTAGTGTGGCTTGTAGGCTCTGCTGGGCTTCGCTCCAGTTAGAACGAGTGGTATTACCGGCCTTGTAGCGGGCGAGGGCCATTTTGGGCTCGGACGCCAGTGAGAACCAGTACGTGAGGTAAAAAAGAGCTGATAATGCCTGAGTGACTTGAGCTGATTTCAACATGGCAATAGTTTGGAGCTGTTCGCCCCGAAGATCTAGAATGGAGCGAGCGTTGTTAACGGTGGTGGCCACCGTGAGAATCATAAGCGAGAGCACCATGACAAAACTCACCACGATAACCAGCTGGATACGTATACTGATTCTGATTTGACGCATACCGGGGGTGGTTAGATCATGAGAAAGGTAGCGGATTTGGGGTTATACTGGTATCTGGCCCAAAAAGAAGGTATACAAGCACCAAAATACGAGAAATAGGTGAAGAAAGTATGCTGGTGTCTAGGCGGTTAGATGACGTCATAGGGAGCGAAGGAAGTACTTTATAGAGGGCCTAGTAATAAAATCAGAATCTAGACCAAAAACCCCAATAGGAAGAGCGATTGCAAAAATCAAGAGCCATAAAATTAAAGAAAACAATTACATGCCAAAAACAATGATAAAATTTAGGTAAATATGAGTTTGGAAGTACAAAAAAATAAGACAAACCTTTGCCGATCGGCCTGAGATGATTTGAAGACCATCTTTGTCAAAGAAAAATATGTGAATAGAGTTGACATGATCATGTAGGAGTATGTACAATCGTTTAGTAATCACTATTAATATGAAATATCCTTTCAATAATATTTTTTTGTTAT